TCTAGACTCGATCTAATTATGCACCCAGACTATTTGCGAAGCAATACAAATAGCAAGATAAATCTTATATGGGCCGAAATTTGGACCAATTTATAGTACCTTTACAAAAATGGGTATATTCAATGTCACCACTGCTATCTACTCTCGAAGTTTTTACTGCATCCGTCAACAATATGAGGAGCTGACAGTGAGCAACTTCCCATCGCCCATTTAATCCCTTGGACATTCCACATTTATCATTGTTTTTCGAGAAGCATAATACCCTTCTAGTCTATTCGCTAGTTAACGGCTCTCACGCAATGCAATACCAACATAAGGTAATAATGTGTTCCTGGATTCTTCAGAGATACTCGGTTCCACTTGATCCGTCGGCGTCGTCACGTACGACTGTGGTGACAAGAATTGTGCTCTGGTTTTTGATGCTGATGAGCATGTGCAGTACTCGTGGCAGACGCTGCATTACAGGAATGACAACGCACAGTCCTCTCTGTTTTCTTTTAGGACAACCCCGCAAAAAAGACATGGTTGCGGTTGGCACACGTCACAGCATGTGAAACGCTAGACATATTCCCATCGTAGCCGCTGCACGTATACGCGGTCGATTATTGTTGTCTTCTGCTTGCTCTTTTGAAAATGAGCTGTCCACAGAGCACCTAAGAAGCCGGTGTGGAATTAGGGGTCTCAATTACGGTTAGTACTAAATAGGACCGACGACCGCAATTTGTCTGGATTGGGATTCCAGTTCCCATGGATACAATTAGTCTAGACCAGACCAATTAGGACTCCAGACTAATTACACTATTTACCTAAATGTTGCTCTTGCAATCTACACCATTTCCCGGCCAAATTGCCAAAGCTACCAAGCAAGGTGCAAAAGATATGAGATAGGGATTCTTCAAGTCAACACAAAAACGGATTTTTCAACTTTTGGAAAACGGATGGATACACATTCCAAGCAAAATGCAAACTCGAAGTCACGCGCCCAGCTCCAAGTCAAAGCCCCTCAACACAGCGAAACGTGGCGCAGGCAGTGCCTCTCGTAGCGCCAGAGGAGTCAGCGCGTAATGACACTCTTGCACGCTTCCACCGCTTCTTTCATCAGCGCCAATCTGTGCGCCATCAAGGAGGCATACTCCCCACGCACCAGAAACTCCTGCTTTCGTTCTGCCATGAAGCGCCGCATCTTGGCCTTCAAGGAGTTCCAACACCCCTCAATGGGGTTCATCATCGGGCTGTAGGGCCCCAGACGCAGAATCTCGATCTTGTTCAGGTTCATGGTCCCGTCGGCAGCCAGGTACTCTCGAGCAAGGTTCTCGACGTCGTTGTGGGACGGTGTGTTGTCCGTGACAATCACAACCTTGGCCGGTTGAAGTTCGGCGTATTCCTCGGAGTGAAGAGCAGCGATGAAGCGGTGTACCATGAATCTTGCATTCTCGGCCTTCTTCACGGACCCTTCGTGGGTTTGCAGCAGAAGCAGACCAGAGCCACTTGACACCCCTCCCTGGTTATGGAGGTTCTTACCTTTGGCAGGCGGCAGTTGGACGACGGCACGTTCTCCAATCCGAGCCCAACCCTCATTCCGAGACAGGTACAAATTAAAATTAGTTTCATCTTGAAATACAACCGTGTTACCTTTCTTGATGTGCTTGTTCAGCTCCAAGCCAAAGGTCTTGCGCTTCTACTTGTTGGCGGATGAGTTCATGGTCTCCTTCTCAATGCGTAAACGCTTCGTCGAGTACAGTGTACCCTGTAGGGCGCGATGAATGGACGTCTTGCTGACAACAACGCCCAGCTCGGCTTGCAAGCGGTCATACATTTGCTCCAGCGTCATGCGGCAGTCCTCGTCGAGAGGTTCTTCAATGTTGCTCATCACCTCCCCAGTCATCTTTAGAGAAGCTTGGCGCAAGCCGCCGTGCTGCTTAGGCTCCTGTCCAGCACAAAGGATAGCCCGGCGTGCTGTAAAATAGTTGACGTCGTTAACCTTGGCAACATCCCTCCAATTCTGGTTCTCCTGGAAGGCAAGGACGACGCGGACCTTGGCTTGCGCTCTCTCGAAGGTGCGGTTGGTTTTGTTGGGTTGTGAGGGATGGCATCTTTTCAAATGAGCGGAAAGGCGCACTCGTGTGGTGCGGTTGGCGCGGAAGCATTTGGCAATTCGCGCCAAAACGACTGGTCTGCATTTTGCTTGAAAAGTGTACCCATCCAGTTTGCAAAACATGAAAAAATGCACTTTTTGTGGTTGTACACTAAACACCATTCTTTCTCACTTTGCAGTTTGGTTAGTAAAATTTGTAATTTGGCCGGGAAATGGTGTAGTAGCCTATTTACATATACAGATTTCCCCCTCTTATCAGTGATATCTTGCTAAATATGATACGGACCGGGTCCACCGACTTGGTTCCCAGTAAAAGGCTAATGAAGGATTGATAACCCTGTCAAACGCTAACCGTGCTTTCAGTTAACTCTAGTTTAGTTGGGTTCGGGATAATCTCAGCAAACGCTAGCTTTAGCGCAATAAAGCGCTTGAGAACCGTGCTATGGTACCCCTCTCAAACAATTGCATCTTTTTGGTATTAATATGTTACGTCAACAAGTATCTACAGTAGAACACTTCACGGATTGAAAAACCGGTGCCTGGTCTCAGTCCTAACGTTTCCATAATAATTTGAGCATTCGTGGTCGTAATATTGTCATGAAAATTTAACGCATTGGATCGAAACCGAACAGTAGTTCAACCTTGATTTCAAAACCGCTGACAACGGTACAGTAGCCTCAGATAAAA